TGGTTAAATGAGGTCATAGGGCAAAGCCTGGGGATTAGTGTCCTCATAAGAAAAGACACTAGAGAGTTCTCGTTCTCTCTGTCCTTGTATTCACGAACTGAGCAAGAAAACAGCCTACTGCATCCCAAGGGGTGAGCCCTCACCAGGTAACAGCGCTGCTGCCACCTTGATCTTGGCCCTCCAGCTTTCAGAACTGAAAGGAAAACAGATTGCTGTTGTTTAAGCCACCCCTAGTCTGGTGTTTTGTTATAGCAGCCCAAGAAGACTAACATAATAATACTTTATAATTTTCTTTAAAAAATTTTGTTTCTGGGCATTTCATTATTTTTGTTGCAATTACAAATGGGGTTTCCATCTTCCAATTTTAATTAACCAGCATAGGTTAAAGCTATTGACTTTGTTATAGATTTATCTCAGGCCCTGGCAATTTCCAATCTTTCTTCTTCACTCTAGAGGGTTGTTTTAGTGGAAACCGTTGCGTTTTCCCGGGATATAATCACATCATCTGCAAACGGGAGAACCACTTTTCTTCTCTTCCAATATGAACAGGCAATTTTATTTTCTTGCTTTATTATATTAGTTAAAAATCATATGGGATGGGGTGTGAAGCTCAGTGGTAGAGGGCTTGCCTGCTATGTGTGAGGTCCCTGGGTTTGACACCCAGCACTGGAAACAACCACAAACTAGAAAATACTGTTGAATGATTTTTCCCCCCAGTACTGGGGAATGAACCCCAGAGGCACTCAACCTCTGAGCGACATCTCCAGTTCTTTCTATTTTGAGATAGGTTCTAAGTTGTTGAGGCTAGCCTCAAACTTGCAATCCTCCTGCCTCAGCCTCCCAAACTACTGGGATTACACGAATACGCTATCATGTCTGGTGATGATGGGATATTCTTGACTTGAATTTTGATTGAATATGGTTTGACTGCTTTATAAATTAATGATATCTGATTTTATATATTTTTCCTTTTTTGCTAACTTTGTCATAGACAGTTTCCTTTTACTCTCACATTACTTAAACTTTTTATTTAGCACATTTTTTTTTCTGAAATGTTCAGGCAAGGAAGGCATTTCAAAGTAAGACAGGAAACAGAGACACCACAAAGCAAGACACACTTGACTTCACACACACACAACTGCTTTTGCATGGCAAAAGATGCTATCACAAAGGTTAAAACCCAAACCAGATCAAATGGAAAGTTCAAAAGAGGAGAAAAATATTTGCAGCCCATTTAGCACCATGTACTACCCCTAACATGTCAGGAGCTCTTGACAAATCAAGAGTAAGGAAATGACTTAGCAGAACATGAGCAATGGATGTGAACAGGCTGCTTTTAAAAGTGGAAATCTGAAAAATCAATAAATAACAACCAAAGGAAGAGATATTTGAATGTGCACATTAAAAAACAACAAATTTCCCTCCCATCCTGCATCTTGGCCCCAAGTATAAACCTCAATAATATTCACGGCCAGAAAAGGTGCAAGTAGGTGAGTGTCTCATGGGGGTGAGTGTAAATGACGAGAACAGCTTTATATATAGTTGGCAACGTCCATCGCAATTTAAAACGTGTGGCCCCACTTTTGAAAACCTACTCCACAGATTTAAAAGCTCGGGTTCGAGCTGGGCACAGTGGTGCATGCCTGTAATCCCAGCGGCTCAGGAGACTGAGGCAGGAGGATTGCAAGTTTGAAACCAGCTTCAGCAACTTAGGGAGGCTCTAAGCAACTTAGCGCCTCTAAATAAAAATATTAAAAGGGCTGGGGATGTGGCTCAGTGGCTAAGTGCCCCTGGATTCAATCCCTGGTACAAAAAAAAAAAAAGCTCTGGTTCATGGTATTTTATGCATAAATACATTTCAGTACTGCTTGCAATGGTGAAAAGGGAGAAACCATCTGAATGTCTGTTGATGGGTGAATAATGAAGCCTTGGTGCACTATACTCTGGAATTTATTCATCTATTAGCATGAATGAAGTAAAATCTATACCTAGTGGTCTGGAGGGATGCCCATGGTAGTCTTTTAAAAACAACAACAGAAAAAAGCAACAAAGTCCTGGGTAAGAGCCTGTTTACTTTCGTTGCTTTAAAAAAAAAAAGCAAAACTAAAAATTTCCATGCCTAGATTTGTGCCTGTTTGTAGGTACAGTGAGAAAGGGGTTGGGGACAATAGCAAGTAGAAGAGATGATTAGTCTTTCAGATCCTGTTGAATTATTTAACTTGTATTCTTAGGTAATTAAAAATGAACAAAGAAAACTCAGAGGAGGAAGAAAAGGAGCACATATCAGAAACATCAATACGTTCACCCAGTTGCTCTGAGGATTGAAAAGTTCATGGCTCGTATCTATTGATTATCCCTCCTCTTCTAACCGGACATGAGAAAAAACGGGGAGGGCTGGGACGTGGGGAGAAGTGGGGGACTGCAGGTGCAGAAGTCCGAGGGCTGAGAGACAGAGGGAGAGGAGGGGAGATGGAGGAGGGGGTTGGGGAAGAGGGTCAGAGACAGAGGGAGGCTGGGAGAGGCCGAGGGAGGCTGGGTGAGCGAGCTGGTGCTGGGATCAGCTCCGTGCCCATGAGAGGACGATGCTGGTCAAGGGGTCCTCAGGCCGAAAGAGGGTCACCTTGGGAGAGAATGGCTTTAACAGTCTCCCAGTGTTACCTGGGGCCATTCAGGAGACCCTGGGCCCAGAGGAGCCTGCTGGACCTAATGAAAACCCCTCCACGGGGCCTTCCCCTCCTTGTGCATGTCTGGAGCAGGTGGTGGCTGGGTCATCCATCCTCGCTCTTATCTAATAAGTGTCTACCCTGGGCTGCCCTTTGCTATGTGCCGAGGAACTGACCTGTCAGGACAGACGTGGTCCTTGCTGACCCTTAGTGCTGTTGCCTGTTTCCGCCTGACAGTCTGGACCGGCACCACAGCTGAAGCCCCAAGTCCCAGAGTCCAGCAGACCTCCTGGCACCAGGTCCTGGATGGTCCCGGGGCTGGGGTGAAGGTAAAGCCACTGGGAGCCAGGGGATCACCAAGAGGACATCCAGTTAGCAAGGGACTAGATAGGCCCAGAGATGTCCCGGCCAGGGCTGCTGGCTATCTGCTTCCTGGAGCCCCAAAGCTAGGACGGCAGCCAGAATGGACGGAGACAGTAGCTTCTGGCAGCTTGGAGACTTTCCCAGAGGCTTCCACGACTTCATCTTGAAGCCATGCAAACTACTAAGAAGCCGCAGGAAAAGGCTAGGGCTCCTCCCTGGCCCCAAGCCCAGCACTGCTGCTATAAGGCTCCCCAGGGCCTTCTGGTCTCCCACAAGCATCCAGGAGCCACCCCGGGACTCCTGTGAGTACATGGCCAGACCTGGGATAGCAGAGGACACAGCTCCATCAGAAAGCACAGACCCCAGCTTCTGCACAAGACAACCACAGGAGACACAGAAATCACCCAGGAACAGGCTTTGGAGCAGCTCAGGGACAGTCAGCCATCTGTGGTTCCCCAGTGCCCCTCTTTGCCCACCTAACATAGCAGCTTCCTTGGGGCCGAGAGCTTCCTGTGTCTCCTGGATCCTGTCTCCTCTGCCTCTGCCACCAATTCTTCTCCCCGCCTTCACCCAAATTTGGTCCTTCTTTCCCCCACTGTACCTCCGTATCCCAGTGTGGTCCCTCTCAGTGTGGATTCAGGGGCCCCCTGAGCAGCCACAACCAGACAGGCCACCAGCTCTTCCCGACTGGCTGCCTGTGGGGTGACACTTGTCAAGAGTTTGACGTGCCTGGCACAGGCCTGGCACAGAGGAGCCTGGTGGTGGGTGGGTATTGCCATCTGGTACCTCAGAGGGAGAACACGTTCCCTTGGGGGAGCCTCTAAGTGGCCTGGTCTGGCCTTGGTGCAAGGTTGGTAAGAAAGAGCGCTGATTGCAAGTGTGTGGGGCCACCGGCCTCCTTGCCCACATAACAAAAAGGCCATCTGTGTTTGTGCAGCTGGGGAGGTGGTGGGGGCGCTGCTCCTGCCCAGAGCATGTGTGTGTCTGCAAGCGCCTATGTATGCACATGAGTGTGTGTATGTGCACATGAGTGTGTGTGTGCGTGCACACATGATTGTGTGTATGTGTCTGTAAGCTTGTGTGTGTGCTTGTGAGTGTGGGCGTGCTGATCTGGAGCAGATAGGGTAATGATGACCCCTTGGGGTGCTCCTTAGAAGACGCTGTCAAGTCTAGTATCTTGGGGTTACCTCTCTCAAGATGAGCCCCTTACCCCTCTGGCTGCTGTCTCACTTAGGACCCTTAGACCCCAAGTCCTGGGCTGAAATGTGGTCACATCAGGGCAGGAGGGTAAGGGCCTGCCTTAGAACCTGGCTCTGCCACGCACTAGCTGAGCCAGGCCCCTGTCTCTGGGCCACAGGCTATTTCTTTGTAAAATGGGGCTGTTAAATACCTTTACTGACTATTGAAAACAAGCCTAGGAACAACAACAACAATAAAAAACCATCATAAAAGCTGTGGAGAGCGCTCTACAGCACCAGGTGATGTCCCAAGGGGACACACCCATGGCAATGCAGCCATCACAAATGCCAAGGGCACTGGGCCAAAGGTCCCTTGCTCATTAGGGCCAGGAAGTCCTTCTTGAGACACAAGATGAGTGTGGGGGAGAGGGGCACAGGCTGCCTGGGGAAGATACCGTTTTACATCTTGCAAGAAAACTTCACTTGACATTTTATTTCTGCAAAGATCTATATGTCGCCGGCAGCATCCCTGCCCCCGAATTAGCACTTGTTTGGGAAACTGCCCCCAGAAGACCCTCCCACCATATCCCTGCACAGAGCGAGCAATACTGTGGGATCAGAGCTGCCCTCTCCCTTGGGTGTATGTGGGGAGCCCAGGGCACAGGAGGGAACGAAGCACAGCATGACCATGTGGAGAGTGTAGTGGCCCCAGCCTCACACCCACGCAACGCCTGGCGGGCTGATGGCCTGCAGGTCATCGGCGGTGATCCTGGGAGAAAGGGCAACAGGGTCTTACCTCTCCCTCGAGCCCATGTGTAGACGCGGCTGGCCTCAGTGCTCCTGGGTTCTGGCTCTGCCGGCTCCACAGGCAAAGGTCGGAAGTGGGGGTCGTCAGCCCGGCCAGGGGTCTTCAGGGGCAGGATGTACTTGGGGAGTCCTTTGTAGAACCAGGCCCCAGACCTCTTCCAGACCTGTGTGGGAAGACATCAGCTTGGAGCACAAGATGCAGAGTCCCTGTGCTGAGCAATCACTGCCCACCCGCCCTCTTGCTTCAGTCCCATGCTTTTCAGTGATGGGGGATGGGAGAGCAGAGAGCCATCAGAGTGGGAAGGGACTCCTGCCTCTGCCCTCCCTGGCCAGTGGGCCAGGGTGGTCACTTCCCCCTCAAGGACCTAGGACAAGTGGGAATAAATTCCACAGAATCTTTGCATCTAATTTAGGGACCATTCTCTGTCTTTTTTAAAGTGGTGATTTCAGGGGATGACACATTGAAGCACTGGGACATGCTTATGAAACTGTCCACTGCTACCATCTTGTCCTTTCTGGTTCCCAGAGTCAGGAAACACCTAGCCACCCCCGGCCCATCCCCGGCCCCTCCAGGGCTCTGTGGAGTTTCTAGTAGATCTGCCACAACAGGCTCCCTCGCTGCTGGCTGGCCTCACCCGCACCTTCTCCCTCTGGCCCCATGTCAGGGGCCATACTGCGCCGACCTACTCAGCCGCAAGTGTCTACCTCGCCCACTGCCCGCCAGACATGGGTGGCCTCCTCCACATCCTGCTCAAACCCCAGCTTCTTGAGGATCCGTTTGGTGGTCCCTCAGGTATTTCGTGCCCCCTCCCATTGAGCCACTCCTGTCTCATGTTTGTCACTATCTCTCAGAGAGGGGCTCAGAAGTGGCTACACAGTTCCAGGCTTGGTTGGCTACCCCCAAGGCATAGCCACTGGCTTCGCCCTCCTCTTCCTTGCCTTGATGCATCCTCCTCAGTGCATCCTCCTTCTGGGTGCCCCAGGAACCCTTCTCCATCCCACAGAGCCCACCACAGAGGTCAGACGATGCTTGACAGGTCCCAAGCATGTGCAAAGCATGCTCCATCACCTCCCCTTGGAAAAGATCTAGGGCTGGGGAGGCAGTGAGAAGAGATCACACTAAACCATGAAGTGGGACTTCCGGAGGCTAGGCAGAGCCAGGGAGCTGAGGATGTTCACCTGCATCCTGAATGAGAATGACAGGGCAGGAGATATTTGAAATCAGGGACCTGCAGCCTCTTAGGTCCTGAGGAGTCCCTCTGTGCCCCTATCACCCTCAGCAGGTCACTCAGGCTCCCCTCCTGCTTGCCCCTGGAAACAAGGTAGAATCAAAACAGCTTCTACACACACTGTCTGTGTGTGGCTTTGGGTGAATTACTTAACCTCTCTGAGCCTAAATTTCTTCATTGGTGAAGCATGATAACAATGCATGTCCAATAGGGCTGCTGAGAAAGTTGGGGAATGCTCAGCCCGGTGTCCAGTACCTGGAAGTTGCTCAGTAGGGGCCACCTGCCTTCCTCCCAACCAGCCCTTTCCCATGAAACTCTGGACAGAGTGACAAGAGGCTTAAAGAAAATCCAGGCTGGGCCACATCACAGTATTTGAAAGCTCTTCCTGAGGGCTTCTGCAGCAGGCACAGAAAGAAGTCGAATCTCAGAGCCTCAGGTTAGAATTCAGAGCAGCAACTGAGATAAGGTCCCTAAACTCTTAATGCCTACTTCAGAAAACACCAAGTCCTCTCTAATCCCTTTCCCCATGGAGGAAATGCATTCAAGGCATTGAGTAAGGAGGGTTGGGAGTGTGTGGAGGACTCATGTCACCTTGTCAGAGAAGGGCAGACCTTGCCTGTTCTAAGCAGACAGCCCTAGAGTTTGAATTCTAGGTGTGTCACATGCCCAGCAGCTGCTTGATTTGGACACATCCACCTCCCTGACCCTTGGTTTCCTCATTAGTAGGTGGGACATGGGACAGTGCTCTTCTCACAGGGCGGCCAAGAGAATGGGGCAGGGAAGCCACCCCACAGCTCTGAAGCTCAGAATCATTATGCCATCTTCCTCCTCCCATCTGACAAACACAGACAGTGGACCCAATCCCCTACTAGAAAGAAAGAATTTAAAATATAATCTTTTCTCTGAGACAGTGTCTCCCACTCTCCAAAGGCCCTCAGCTCCACGCTGATGCTATGGGATGTTAATAAGATCTAAGCCACAAAGAAGGAAGGAAGGAGAAGTATGAGTGAGTATTGCACAGACCCTGTATTGCACCACTTCTCAGAGCCTCTGATCTGCTAAAGTACAGAGTTTTCCGTCAGGGCAAAAGAACACACCCTGCTGCCCACTGAGCCTTTCTATGCCTGCTGCAGAAACTCTGTCTCCATCCACTCAGCACTTTGGGGGACAGCACTGTTATAGTCAGCTTTTTCATTGCTATGACTAAATGACCCGACCAGCACAACTGTAGAGGAGGAAAAGTTTATTTGAGAGTTCACCGTTTCAGAGGTATCAATCCACAGGCAGCTGGCTCCATTCCTCAGGGTGCCAGGTGGGGCAGGAACAATATGGCGGAAGAGTGTGGCAGAGGGAAGCGGCTTACACGGTGATCAGCCAGCAGAGAGAGAGTCCACTTGTCAAATACAAACGTATATACCCAAAGCCTGCCCCAATTCCCACCTCCTCCAGCCACACCCTTCAATTACCACCAAGTTAATCCCATCAGGAGACTAATCCACTGACTGGGTTCAGACTCTCACAACCCAATCACTTCTCTGAACCTCCTTGCATTGCCTCACTTGGGAGCTTCTGGGAGACACCTCACATCTAAACCATAACAAGCACTAACTTGCTGAGTGAGCTGCATCTATTTCTCCAAGTGGATGGGGTCACCTCTTGATGCTCTGGAGTGCCAGGCACAGGACTGGCACGAATCACTCATGACTCCTCCCAGCATCCCTGCATGGCAGGGTCTGGGTTTATGCAATTTTTGAACAGCACAGATTTGTGGGATGCATGCTTTGTGGAGCCCCTTTGGAAAGCATCCCAAACCCCTGGATTGATGCTTGTCCCCACCAAAACTTAGGTTCAACTTTAATGCTCAAATTCACGTGTAAATGGTATCCGGGCGTGGGATCTTCAGGAGGTAACTGGCACTGGATGAGTTTATAAGGGTGGGGTCCCCGTGATGGCATTAGCTATCTTCTAAGAGGAAGAGCTGGTCCGTTTGCTCTGTCTCACAGTGAGACACCAACGTGCTCACCAGATGCTGGCACCGTGCTCCTAGATTTCCCAGGCTCCAGAACCATGAGCCAAATAATTTTTTTTAAATAAACTACTCAGCCTCAGGTGATTTGTTATTGCAAAATAAAATGGATTAAGGCAGTTGTGGATGCACATAGTCTAAATCCACAAAGGCAAAGTCTCCTCCCCTTCCCTGAGGTGCCTGGTGATAGGAGTTCACTGAGGAAGCTTATGTTATTACTCCACTTTCCCAAGGGGAACACTGAGGCTCCAACAAGTTCAGCAACTTGCCCAAGGGCCTTAACCCTATCCCCGGGGGTTCAGGGTCTCACCCCCACGGATGCAGAGCTGATGCTCACTGAATTGTGGTTGCAAGTAAATAAGTCCTCAGTGGGTCAGGTGAGGCCACCAAAAGCTAAGTGTCCTACAGACTGGATGCTCAGAGGGGAGGGATGTGCCACAGAGGGAGAGGGATAACAGAGCCTCTAAGGCCACTCTGTCCCTGGAGAGCTGCTACACAGCTGGGGTCCTGAGTTGCCTGCATTGGGCTCTCTCAGCCTCCCTGCAGCTAAGCAAGGCCTGAATAGTGGCAGCCCCTGCCTGCCCCAGCCTGGGCATGCCAGCTCCTGTCCTCCAACGTGGGCTGGGCTTCAGGGCATCAAATGAAGTGGGCACGGACAGCCATCTGTGAGCAGGGGTCAGTGTGGGCTTGGGACCTGTGCCACACTGCCTCCCCCGTCCATAGAAATTGCTTTGTCTTTTTTTCTTTTCTGAGAAACAGATACAGAGTACAGAAAAATCAAGACAATAACAATGAAGTAAAATGAAAAAAAAAAAAAAAAAAAACCACAGGTTGCCGATAACCCTGACCACAGAGAGCCCTGCTTATCACCAATGTGTGAGTTTCTTTTCTATTTCTTACTTAGGGCATATGTGCAATTTTTTTGTTTTATTTGAAAAATAAGAGTGTATAGATATGACCCATCCTCTCCTAACATGGAATTGTTCTGTGTTAATAAGTCATGGTCTCCATCATTGTTTTTTTGATGGATCTTTATTTTATTTTTATGTGGTGCTGAGAAGAAAACCCAGTGCCTCACACATGCTAGGCAAGGGCTCTACCACTGAGCCACCACTCCAGCCCCCGCCCAGCCCTCTTTTGTATTGTATTTTGAGATGGGGGGTCTCACTGAGTTGCTTAGGGCCTAAGTTGTTGAGGCTGGTTTTGAACTCACAATCCTCCTGCCTCAGCTTCCCAAGCCACTGGGACTACAGGCATGTGCCACTTTACGCCCTTCAGAGCATCATCTTTGTCCATGTGGCATTGGTCGGTAGGGGGCTACTGCCTTAGGTAACATCCTGAGAAGTGGGACTGCAGGTCAAGGGATGTGAATACGTCCATCTAGATGAGGATGTGTATATTGGCAGCTTGGCCTCCAGGAAGAAAAGTGACATCCCAGTGTGACACTTAAGTGTCTTCAGGGTGGGGACCTTATCTTATGTTCCCTGTGGAACCTAAGTCTGTGGATCCTGCTTGGGAGAAGTTTCCCAGGGTTGGTGGGCTAGGGCATTTGTCCAGTCCTGAGGTCCCCAGATGTAAGTGCGGCAGGAGGGACAATGGAATCCCCTGCCACTTCTAAGATATTTCTTCAGGAATGGGAGAGCACAGGGACAAGGACATGATCTGTGACCAATAAGACCTGGAGGACAGCCTTCAGTGCTCTGCAGCATAGGACCATGGTCCTGCTCACAAATATGTATGGTCCTTTTGAAAAAAAATTAAAATTTTTATTATGCCAAAATATACATAACACAAAACTGACCGCCTTAACCATTTTTCAGTATCTAGTAGTGTCAGGTACATTCAATCTCTGACTCTTTCCCTCTTGCACACAGAACTCTGTCCCATTAAACAACAATTTCCTCCCTCA